TCTCTTTCCACTGACAGAGTCAATTTGACTCCTGTGTGTTCCATCTGGCAAGTCTCCCTTTATGTTGTTGAAAAAAGGTATTTACAGTGAATTTGCAAGTCATTGGTCTTGCAAAATTCTATCATACAATCTCCAGCATCATTTCTATCTCCTTTTTGTTTTCAACTTTATATCACCAGTAATTATTAGTGTATCTTGTTTGCATGTTTCATCAATTTTAGATTGTAGAAGTTGGTAGAATGCCTCAATTTCTTCATCATTGGTTTTAGTAGTCGGTGCATTTTGGCACAGTGGTAACAACAATGGGTATACACGTAACAACATCTGTGAGGATGGCTCAGGACTGGGCAGGGTTTCACTCTGTTGTACACAGGATCACTAAGAGTCAGAGCTGACTGAATGGCACCTAACAACAACAAAACAACAACAAATCTGAGTAATAGTCTTAACTGGTCTTCCTTGTACTGTTGTTAAATGCTATTGAGTCAGTTCTGACTTCTAGAACTTTTGTATAGGATTTCTGAGTCTTTAAACATTTGAGTCCTGGTGAGGCACTATGGGTTAATGTGCTGAACCACAAGGTTAGCGGTTCAAGCTCAGTTGCTCCTCGAAAACCCTATACACAGTCGCTATGGGTCAGAACTGATGACGGCATTTAATAACAACAGCAACAAATATGTTGCGGGAGCAGAAAGCCTTATTTTTCTCCTGCAGAGAGGCTGTGGACTCCAACACTGAGCTGTGGTTTGTCTTACAGTGTTTCTCCTACACCGCGCACGCTGGTGTTCCTATAGGTGATATTATCCTATCACAGACAGCATGGCACACTGCTGTGTTCAGTAAATGCCGGCTCTCTGGCCTCAGGGAATTGGGCAAGTCAGGCATTCTCAGCCCCACCACGAATGTGGAAAACTGAAGCGCACAGAACAAATGGCTGAAGCAAGGTCAAGCAGCCAGGGGTGAATAGGTTTCCAGAATACAGAAATGGGGACTGAAGGCGATATGTGGGCCTGTTAGCTTCTGCACAAGAGAGAGGGGACTAAATTCTCCTGAAGTAAAAAGAGCTATTTCTCCAGTTGTTGTTGCTGTTAAGTGCCGTCAAGTCAGTTCCAACTCATAGTTACCCCAAGGCTTTAGTGATCTTTGCGGAAGCAGAAAGCCTTGCTCCCGTGGAGTGGCTGGCAGGCTCAAACCACAGAACTTGTGGTTTACAGTCCAGTGCTTATTTTATAGAGCATTCCCCTCAAAATTTTTTAACATTTTAAAGAACGCAACATATTTATAATATTCTAGATTTAAATATATAAAAACATCTAAGGTTTTAAGTTTCCTGAAGGGAAGCTTCCATAGTCAAGTGGCAGAGGGACAGCCAGTGACAACACAGCTAACATTCACCATGCACCAAACATGTACTGGGAGGTACGTGAGTTATCTTGTTTATCTTTATAACAGTCTCACAGCAATTTGGGGGGCACGGAGAGGTTGAGTGACTTCCCCAAAGTTCCACAGCTAAGAGGAAGAAAGGCCTGAACCCCAACACTAGCAATCACGACACCGCTGCACTCTGCAGCCTCTCACTGGGTAAGGGGGCGCCTCGAGGGGAAACCAAGGCCAGAGAGTCCCCTTTCTGAAAAGTCACTGTCCTTTCAAAAACCAGCATCAGTGAACTACCCACCATGAGAGAAACTCAGAAAAATGGTCACATCAGAAACACAATGATCATGAAAAAACCCTCCAAAGGGTCCTCAAAAGTTCTCCCCCAATTTCATTCTTGCTGATGGATGAAGTTAGGAGCCAATACCAATAAATGCCATGCCCAAATCTCCTGGCAAACAGAAGGGTTTTTGCTGGCAAATGACTAGGGAATGAGGGGAGAGCCAGTGAACTTCTGTTTCTGCTCAGCAGATCAAATACAGGAACAAAATGTGGGATTTTCTACTTAAATGGACTATTGTTGTTGCTCAGTGCCAGAGAGTTGGTTCCAACTCATAGCCACCCTGTACAGGGTTTCCAAGGAGCAGCTGATGGGTTTGAACTAATTTCATTGGGCTGCCTACCCCAACAAAACCAGACACACTATCTGTGAAGGCTTGCCCTACTGTTTGCTATCTCCAATTCAGCATTAAGAGTCATCGAGACTTTTTTTAAAAAACATTTTTTAAGAGTTATCCTCTGCATACCACACACTTTTCTTGTCACAAAAAAATCCGTTGGATTTCCACTAATTCCAGTGGTTACTAAAGGAAGAGCATTTTCCTGTGACTTCTGATCCATCAACAGATAATTTCTTGAGCACCTACTTTGGTCAAAATACTTGTGTGGCTCATCCAGTTTTTCTCGTTGCTAACAGCTCAGCTTTTTGGATTCTGGGGAAGCCCAAAGTAGTTTCCCATGAAGGAAAACCCATACTGGAAAATCAGAGCTAGAAATCTGGAAGTCATCTACAAGAGATTTAAAGCTAGGCCAAAGTTGCTTCCTCAAGTTTCTAAGAGCTACGCTCACTTGGTCAAGTACTACTGAGTCTGTCTGTCCAGGTGTGGGCATCTGGATTTGTTTCGGATGGCTTGGGATAACAATGTGAGTAAGCATCTCCTTGATGGTCGAGTGGGGGGCGGTTACTGAACGCATAGAACAGGAAGTGCACCCAGATTTGACAATTCCTACCTCACTGGGGTGGCACTGTGGGCTAATGCGTCACACTGCAAAGTCATTTGAACTGCAAGGTTGGTGGTTCAAGCTCACCAGCTGCTCCTTGGAAACCCTATAAGGGGCCGCTAGGGGTCAGAATCGATCGACAGCACTTAACAACAACAACAACCTCCCTGGAGACCCACCTAACAGATAAACTTCCTTTCTTGAAGCCAGGAGAAAGCAGCCCCCACATGAACGAACTAGACAAAACAGCAAGGGAAGCCGCAAAAGAAGAGTCCTCAGTGGCAAGGCCCATCGGCGGCTGGGTGAGCAACTTCTCCACTCCAGGGACTGGTCATGGAGGCAGAAAGTGAAAATAATGTGTGGTCAGGCCCCTAAAGAACCTACCACACACTCTGGAAAACCACAACAGGAGAGAGAACTCCTCCTCACGGCAGCCTTCTGATGGGACAGACAGCATGCTGGCGAGACAACCAAGCCTCTTCTTGGGTTCCAAGACATTATATTGAGAATGCATTCTGCTTTAAGGCAGATCAACCCCTACCCCAACATTCTCATCCACCTTTTCCTCTCTTGTGATTCTTCTCACCCCACTATCCCTGCCCCTGAAAAGGTGACTCTGCCCCTCACCTTGCGCACCAAAAGACACAAGAACCTTTTAGGAAGTTAAAAACGGCGTCAGTCTGTACGGCTCCAAATTAGAAAAACTAGCAGGATTTTAGTAGTTAGTTCCTCTCTATTCCAAAGGACCCATGGTGGCGCAGTAGTTAAGAGCTTTGTTGCTAAGCAAAAGGTCCGTGGTTCAAACCCACCAATTGCTTTGGGGAAAAAGATCTGCAAAGATCACAGCCCTGTGGGGAGTTCCCCTCTGCCGCTCGGGTCTCTAGTGAGTTGGAATCAACTCAATGGCAATGAATTTGGTTTTCTGGGTTCTCTAGGATCAGCACTGAACTGTAAACCACAAAGTCAGCAGTTCAAACCCACCAGCTGCTCCTTGGAAACCCTATACAGGGTTGCTATGAGATGAAACCACTCAACAGCACTTAACAACAACAATAACACTAATTCTTAAGAAAACGGAGAACTGAGAAAGCTGATGGAAAACAAAATTTCGGATCATTTTCCAAGTCTCATAACATGTCTGTTCATTTCAAACAGTCACACAAGAGACATCGCTGGGTCTGAGGGGAAAATCAGGCCTTGATTAGAACTCCGGGAAACAGCTGGGCAGAGACTGCTAAGAGCTATTGTTATTAATAATAAGTGACATTTTCCAATATGTTCCGGAATCCGGGCTACGTGCCTTTATTTGCATGACTTTATATAATCCCTTCCCAGCCGCTCTGCAGCAGAAAGAGGTGACTGTCTATTTCCATACAATTACAGTCTACGAAATCCTGTGGGACAGTTCTACTCTGTCCTACAGGGTGGCTCTGAGTCAGAAACAGCAACAGGTACGTAATCCCCACAAGAACTCCAGGAAGTAGAAGTTATTGTTGGGCCCTTTTTAGAGATGGGAAGACAAACAAAGAGAGGGAAGGAACTTGGTCAAAAGACAGGAATCCTTCTAAGCAGACAGGTGGCCCATGCCACCCAGGCCCCATCCAGCTCCAGTACCCTCTGCCTGGGCGTGCGGGAGTGTGAGCTCAGAATCTGATGTTCACTTGGTCTCGGCTGGTTTCCACTGCTCACACCACTAGCAAACCATAGACAAGTGGGAGGAAGCCTCCTCAGAGGTTATTGAAGGATCCACAGGCTCTTTCATACAGGTTAGCTGGGAGTGCCCAGAAGATTGTTACCCTACCTGCCAAGGTGGTGGTGGTGGTGGTTATGTGCCGTGGAGTCGGTTCCGACTCATCGCAACCCTGTGCAGGGTTTCTGAGGCTGTAAATCTTTACAGGAGCAGAAAGCCTCATCTTTTTCCTGCAGAACAGCTGGTAGTTTTGAACTGCTGACCCTGAGGTTAACAGCCCAATTCATAACCACTATGCTACCAGAGCTCCTTAACCTTCAAAACCCCAAGGAGCAGTTTGGGCATCTTGTCCAGGCCAATACAAAGGAAACCTGGCCCATTTTATTTAGGAAGAAGAGGAGGAAATGCATGGGTGTACACAGAGTCCTGCACCTCAGGGGATGTGAAGACACTTCACAAACACTGACCATCTGTCTGTACCGGGTGACATTGTCCCCATCACCTGAAAGAAAAGCAGTCATGCGTGCACCCAAAGGCAGGCAAGCTGAAGGCTCTTCACAAGTGGACCAAATAGCCTATAACCTGAGTTGAAGTAAAAAACTTTTTTTAAAAGTTCTGGTGGAATAAACAGAATAAAGTCGTGAAGCTGACTTACCCTTTCTATCTCCTGGAGATACAGTAGTGCAATGTCCCCCGCCTTCTCATAGCAGGTGATGACATCCTGTTCCCGGTCCACGTGGAGGTTACTGGTAGAAGAGGAAATAGGCAACTTCTCTAAACAAAGTCCTACAAAATATGAGACACAAAAACTGAGTAAGTTCTCTTTCATGGGGCTTGACTTTTAACAGTGCCAGAAAATGGTCCCAGGATGTCATGTTGTCACTGTTGTTGTTAAGTTCCACTGAGTCGGTTCCAACTTAGAGTGACCCTATACAGGGTATCTCAGGGCAGCTGGTAGCTTTGAACTGCCAACCTTGCAGTTCAAACTGACCTTGTGGCCCAGTTCTTATCCTACAGTGCCACACCAGGACTCCACAGGCTGTCAGAAAAGCAGATTCTCCAGGCTCACTCTTTTGGGACAAGAGAGAACATTAAGGTGAGGACCCAAAAAAAATATACAAAAAGTTCTGCAAGAAAGAAATCCTTAACTATACAGACAGCTCCATTTGACTTTGATATCTGAATTGAGAACCTGACCAGGTACTTCATCATGACCTCACTGAAACCTAATTTTTCATTCAAATATGTCCCAAAGTCTTAAAGAATTTAAAAAGTACGGAAAGCTAGGCTCACAACAAAATACTAGCTAAAGGAATATCTTCTACCCCAAAGTCTACACCTAACCTATAAGAATTGTTAAATGCTCTGAAGTCTCAGGTACCAGGAAAATCTTTCAACAGTAGGTCAGCAATCCACCTTGGAATTCTGGAGGAACAAAAATACAGACCAACTCTTAGTTCTGGGACAAGGCAACACCAGGAACCTATTTGGAGATGGAGAATGGAGATGGAGGAGATAATGCTTTGTGAAGAGAGATTTCAGAGCTGGGGCAGAGGAACCCATGAAAGTTCTAGGAAAACAGAAATGCCGATAGCCTCTGTGGCCCGGCTCCCACACTAACCTCTGTCCCTGATGTTAGCAACTGGCCTGGAACAGGTAAGGCCCAGGGTCTCCACCTACAAAGGGAGGCAGAGAAAGTCCCCTGTGACATATGTACACACACATTACATACACCACTCCAGGTCAGCGTGTGAGAGAAGGTTGGATACTAACAGAAAAAAGGATATCAAATGAAAGGGGATGGAGAGATCCTGGAGTCCTCATGTGGCGCTGCAGGAAAAACACTCGACCATAATGTCGGCTTGAACTGCAAGGATGGCGGTGCAAACTCATCCTCTGCTCCTCGGAAACCCTATAGAGGGTTGCTATGAGTCAGAACAAACTCCATGTCATGTAACAACAACAGAGAGACCCCCATTCATTTTATAGAAGAAGACACTGCGACCTGACTAGGGCCAAAATCTCAGTTAGTGAGAGAACAGAGGCCAGAACCAGATCTCCAGGCTCCCAGACAGCACCCATCAAGCTGATGGCTGATTTCTGTGGTAACCACCACCAGAGAAAGATGATCTGGCATAGTAGGCATTTGAAAATGACCCCAGAATCATGTACATCCCTTTGAGAAGGGTCCCAGGAAGTTGCTCTTTGCATTGATAGTCCCTCTAGGCTAGGGGTGGGGTCCATCCACGGTATGGATACACGGCTTACTGTTATTCATAAGTTGATAAACACTCGGGTTGTTTCTACTTTTTGACTATTATGAATAAAACATCTCTGAAATTCATGTGTAATTCTTTGTATGATGTATATCTTCAATTTCTTTGATGGATTCTGAATGGAATTGTTTTGTCAGATGGTAAATTTATTGTTTACTTTTGATGACACTGCCAAATGATGTTTTTTAAGCTGCTGTACTTTTTTACATTCCTACCAGTGAAGTCTGAGAACCGCAAGGTCAGCAGTTCGAAACTACCAGCTGCTCCACGGGAGAAAGATGAGGCTTTCTGCTCCCATAAAGATTTACAGCCTCGGAAACCCTGTTCAGGGTCGCTAAGTATCGGAACCGACCCGACAGCACTCAACAACAACAACCAGTGAAATATGGTGTGGCGCTGTGGGGTAATGCACCAGACTGCAAAGTCAGTTTGAGCTACAAGTTTGGCGGTTCAAGCTCACCAGCTACTCCCTGGAAACACTACACAGGGTCGCTATGGGTCGGAAACGACTCGATGGCACTTAACAACAACAACCAGTGAAGTATGAGGATTCCAGTTTCTTCACATACTTACTAACACTTCCCATTGCCTGGCTCTTTTATTACAGTGCTCCTAGCGAGTGTGAAGAGGTATCTCTTTGTTGTTTTGAGTCCCGTTTCCAAAATGAGTAATGATACCATCCTTTCAAGTCCTTGTTTGCTATCCATCTATCTTCTCTGATGAAATATCTATCTATTAAAATCTTTTGTCCATGTTTTATTGGATCATTTTTCTTATTACTAAGTTTTGAGCGATCTCTATATATATGTCCTGGATACAAGATCTCTATCATATAAATAATTTGAAAAGATTTTCTTTATCCGTGGTTTATTGGGGGTTTTTGTCTTCTTATCATGTCTTCTGAAAAAATGAGATGTTTTCATCATTGATAAATGATGAAAGTCCATTTATCAATGTTTTCTTTTCTGGACTGGGCTTTTAGTTTCATATCTAAGAAATCTTTACTTACCCCAAAGTCACAAGGATTTGCTCCTGTTTTCTTCTGGAATTTTTATAGGTCTATGATCCATTTTGACATATTTCCATCTACACTGCAAGGTATAGACCAGTGTTTACTTCTTTGCAAATAGATATCCAATTGTGCCAGCACCACTTATTACAAGGTTTCCTTCTCTACGGAATGGCCTTGTACTTATGTGAAAAATCAGACAGGCATATACAGATGGATCGATCCAGATACACTATCCTGTTCCAAGGAGTCCTGTGACACTGTAGGATAAGCACTGGATTCCTAACTGCAGGTTGACCGCTAAAACCTACCAGCTGCTCCTAAGAATCCAATCCAACTTGATGACGCTTAACAACAACAATCTTGTTCCAATTATTTATTGTTGTTGTTGTTAGTTGCCACTGAGTCGGCACTAACTCATAGCAACACTATGCACAATAGAATGAAACCCTGCCTGGTCCTGGGCCAACCTCACAATTGTTGCTACACCTGAGCCTGTCGCTGCCGACACTGTGCCAATTCATCTCGTTAGAGGTCTTCCTCTTTTTCGCTGACCCTCTAATTTACTAAGTATGATGTCCTTCTCCAGGGACTTGTTCCTCCTAACAATTTGTCTGATGTATGAGAGACAAAGTCTGGCCAGCCTGGCTTCTGAGAAACACTCTGGCTGTACTTCTTCCAATACATATTGGTTTGTTCTTCTTGCAATCCATGGTACTTTAAATATTTAATATCAAACACCATAACTTACATGAATCAATTGTTCTACAATCTTATTTATTCATTGTCAAACTTTCACATGTATTTGAGACTATTGAAAAGACATTGAAAATGGCTTGGGTCAGGTCCACCTTAGTCATCAAACTGACATCTTTGCTCTTGAACACTTTAAAGAGATCTTGTGCAGACTTGCCTAATGCAATCTGTGACAACTTCATTTTTCTCCCCATTTAAATGTTATTTACTAGTCCAGTTGTGAGGATTTTTGCTTTCTTTACATTAAAGTGCAACCCAAAACGAAGGCTGTGGTCTTGGATCTTCATCAGTATTTTAAGTTCTCTTTGCTTCCAACAAGCAAAGTTGTGTCATCTGCATAACAGATTAATGAGTCTTCCTCCAATCCTGATGCCACATTTTTCTTCATATAATCCAGTTTCTCAGATTATTTGCTCAGTATACAGACTGAATAAGTATGGTGAAAGAACACAACCCTGGCGCACACTTTTCCTAATTTTAAACCATTTGGTATGGCCTTGTTCTAACAATTGCCTCTTGGTCTACATACAAGTTCCTCATGAGCACAATTAAATGTTCCACAATATTCGTTCTCCACAGTGTTGTCCACAGCTGGTCATGATTCACACAATCAAAGGCCTTCACACAGTCAATAAAGCACAGGTAAACATCTTTCTGGTATTCTCTGCTTTCAGCAAAGATCTATCTGACGTCAGCAATACCATTCCTTGTTCCATGTCCTCTTCTGAATCCAGCTTGAACCTCAGACAGTTCCTTGTCAATGTACTATTGCAGCCGTTTTTGAAGTATCTATAGTAAAATTTTACTTGCATGCGATATTAATGATATTGTTTGATGATTTCTGCATTCCATTGTGTCATCTGTCACTGGAATGGTCCCAAGTACGTATCTCTTCCAATCAGTTCACTGGATAGCTGTCATCCAAATTTCTTGGCATAGATGAGTAAGTGCCCACAGAGCTGTATCAGTTTGTTGAAAGATTTCAATTTGGATTCCATCAATTCCAAAGCCTTGTTCTTTGCCAATGCCTTCAGTGCATCTTGTACTTCCTTCTTCAGGATCAGTGGTTTTTGATTATATGTTACCTCTTGAAATGGTTGAACATCGACCTTTTGTTTTTTGTCACAGTGATTCTGTGGATTCCTTCCATCTTCTTTTAATGCTTCTGCGTCATTCAATATTTGGCCATAGAATCCTTCAATATTGGAAGTCTAGTCTTCAATTTTTTCTTCAGTTCCCTCAGCTTGAGAAATGCTGCGTGGTTTTTTCCCTTTAGTTTTCTAACTTTAAGTCTTTGCACATTTCATTATAATATTTGACTTTGTTGTCTAGAGCAGCCGTTTGAAATGTTTCAGTTCAGCTCTTTTACTTCACTTCTTCCATTTTTTTTTTTTTAGCATCTCTACACTGGAGAGAGGAAGTTTCAGGGTGTCTTCTGACATCCATTTTGGTCTTTTCCTCATTTCTTGTCTTCTTAATAACCTTCTGCTTACATCCTGTATGATGTTTTTGTTGTCATCCCACAACTCTTTTGGTCATTAGTGTCTAATTTATCAAATATGTTCTTGAAAATTATCTCTAAATTCAGGTGGAATCTGTTCAAGGCCATTTTTTGTCTCTCATGGATTTAATTTTCTTCAGCTTCAGCATGAAGTTGAATATGAGCAATTGATGGTCTGTTCCACAGTCTGTCTTGTTTTCACTGGTGATATGGAGCTTTTCAACCTTCTCTTTCCACAGATATA